TTCACTGGACTGTCAACTAGTGGGATCTCAATCTGTGGCTCCTTCTTCAGTTTCTTTTCTTTCCTCTGTTTCTTTTTCCTAGGAGGACTTGGCTTATCGAGCACAGGCACGTCCTCAATTGCCTTAGGGATTTCTAGGTCAGCATTTTTCTTTCCAATCTTCTTATTTTCCTTCTTTGATTCTCTCTTCTTTTCAGGCTTGTTGTTAGCAATCACAAGTTTAGGTTCTTCTTTTCCTTCTTCTAACTCTCCTAGTATATGCTTTGGAAATGTTAGAGGGTTCAACTTCCTCGAAGGGTTTTGAATAGCACACACCCTTTCATCTCACTCAAAATTTTCCTTCTAGAACTTGAAGAAGTCCCTTTGAACCTTCTATATCTGTAATAAAACACACCAAAATACACTGTCAGTTTCCAAAATGGTCTCTCCAGTAGCCATTCCTTGTCTTGCCTCAGTAGATCTCTTACTAGCCTTTGGCTTCATCAGAGTGTGTATTGCTGCTTTGTCAAAAGCAACTTAAGGTTAGCAAATTTCATCAGTGACCTTCTCAAGCATACCTTGGCATTTACAAAGCAATGTGATAAGGCAAAGGAAATAGACCAAACCATTCTTCTTTTTCGAACAAGCTTAAATTCCTTGGGCAATTATGTTTCCAACATTGATCTTACTCAAAGAAGTGATACAATGCAGCAACAACAACCTTGACCTACTCATTGTTTCATTATGAGTTGTTGGCCTCAACGAATGCTTCAAAAATTTGTATCAAGCCTTAGATTCTGGATAAAGTTTCATTCTTCTCTTGATTTTCGCAGCACCAGACTCCAGCTGTAACACCTCACTTTACCCCGTACGCGTAATATAATAAATATACAAGAATAATTCATGAAATTCATCAGAGTTCTCCAACATAGTGGGATATCACACTAAGTCACTTCATTTCATTAAAATAATCAATATTATTTAGTTTTCAATTAAGCAACGGAATACAAATCAATTCTCCAATATAATTCTCCTCAACATGAGGTCATACAACATAAGTCCAACAAATAAAGATACGTAACAATAAACAAATAAAGATACGTAACAATAAACCAATAAAGTAGTCAAATAACAACGTAACCCCGTCATCCCATGTTACGTATCAGAGCGACTCCTAAGACTCGATCAAATAGCAACACACTCCAAGCACTACTCAGGTACCTTGTCACCTGTACTCCCAAGAGAGCAAAGACACAACAACAAAAAGGGGTGAGAACTACATTCAATAAATAAACGGTGAAATACACATGCTAAGGAGTAGTTACACACCACACATAAAATAAGCACAAATAACGCACATACACGTGCCACCTCAATCACTTGGAATTCATAGCCCACACTCAATTACAATAATGCAATGTGACTCACTGACTCGACACAATGCATGTGGTACCAACACAATCTCATACGGTTCACACTAGAACCCGATTCCCGTCGGAATCCGGATAAGTCGTATATACGTTCCTCTGAACTACAACTTATCTCCACAACAACTTCCACATTGAAGTCCGGATGAAACTAGGCACCCATCATGGATTCCCACCTAGCCATCTCCACAAGACACATGATATGAAATGCATGTCAACACAATTATGCAATGTAATACATCATGCATAATTCGATTTTTTGACACAAATACCCTATATTGAAACCAATAATCCCACAATACCCTAGTTTGAAATTTATTTACAAGAGTACCCTACTTTTGAGGGAGTTCGCCCATGCAAGGGACAAACTAGTGAAAGGGAAGCTTGAGTTCGTCCACCCCAAGGGCGAACCAGTGGAAGGACACGGCCATGCAAGGAGTTTGCCCATCCCAAGGGCGAACCAGTGTTGAATTGTTTTTTTTTTTGTTTGTTTTTTTTTTCATATTTTCTACAATATATATTTAACCTATTTAATTAAAGTAATAAAAAATATATTTAATATAAAACATATAAAATCTATTTAATTAAACTTATTTAAAATATATTTAATTAATTTTTAAAAAAAACTATTTAATATAAAACATATAAAATCTATTTAATTAAACTAATAAAAAATGTATTTAATTAATTTAAAAAAAAACTATTTAATATAAAACATATAAAATTTATTCAATTAATTTAATAAAAAAACATATTTAATTAATTGATTAAATAATTTACAAGAATAAAATTTCAAGATTAAATAGTTACAATAAAATTGATTAAATAAATATACATATCATCGAAGATGACCCCCGGTTCCACACCTAGGGGCCCTTTATTGTCGGTGTCCTCTGCCCAAACGCTCGTTTGCAGATGACTGAGACGAGTCGGAAGACAAATCTTCATTGTGATATGTTGTCGGGGGGATTGTCTGCCTTGTAGAGGGTCCTGGTTCATCATCTAGAATATCTTCGATGTTAAAATCCGGCATTTGCATCAGTTGCTCCTCTGTCAGTAAAAAATGTTGGAATGAATGTGATGGTTGTGGTGGTTGTGGGTAGGTTTCGGCTTGGGTTTGTTGAACGGTTGGGATGTAGACGTCATCAGGCGTGAAGGCGGGTTGTGAGAAGGTAGTGTTGAAGGTAGGATTTGTAGGATATTGGAAATAAGGGTTGCTCTGCTCAAAGTTGGGGGCTGTACATGGGGTGAACTGTCTGGGTGGTCGGAGGTAGGGTTGGGGCTGATATTGTTTGGTGAACTGGGGGAAGTTATAGTTATGTTGAGCTGACGAGGATGGGTACCCCCAAAATTGAGAGGTGTTGGTTGGTGGGGCATCCGGATGCATTGATGCGGCAGTTGGTTGTGTCGATGATGATGGTTGCGTCCGTGGGTCGGTCAAAAATTGATCCGGAGCAACATGGACATAAGGAATTGCGCGGAACCAAGTTAAATACTGTTGACTTGGCTTGCGTTCACCTAATACAGAGTCCCCCTGCAAAATCACATGTCTTCTGTGTCTCCATTCTCGGACCTCGTCCTTATTTAACTGTTGCCAATGAACTTTTTGCGCTTTTCGCATGGTCATTGCGTGTTGATCCTTTAGACACTTAGGAAGGGGAGGGATTTGTTGGTCTACTCCAAACTGGAGTGTTACCCTATCTGTTTGATGCATCTCAACGATGTAGAAACAAATAAGGTACGTTGTGGCACTCCAGATTTGGCTATCTTCTAGACGCGGGACCGGGTACTGAATGTACGACCTCCATATAAACTGTCATATAACAAAGAAAATTAAGATGCCATTAAATTGAAAAACCAACCATGATTTTCACTTGGTTTAAAACTTACATCTTTTTCTTGCATATGGTCCAACGCGTTTCGATATCCTTGAAGATGGAAACGAGGAGTTGCACGGTAATTCATTCCTCTTTGTGCCCATCTTGTACAATCAAAAACAAAATAATGTTAGACATATTTGAATAAGAAATATATATATATATATATATATATATATATATATATATATATATTACGTACATAAATATGAGTATTATATTACATAAATACCTTTGTGCATATGGATACGAGGGTTCCACCGTGCTGACAGGAGCGAACAATGGGATGCGTGTGAATGCCCAAGAAGTTAGTAGGAGAGCACAAACACTCATGCTCCTAACTTCTTTTTCTACTGCCTTGCACATTTCTCTGTACAATTTTGCAAGGCATGCAGAACCCCAACTATATTTTCCACATTCAATGAGATCCCCCATGAAAGGGACCCAAGAAGAATGCAAAAGGTTTTGAGTTTTATCAGGAAACAAAATTGTTGCGATCACGAGTAAAATAAATAATTTGGCTTCTAATAAAACATCTTCTTGAGTCGGGTTTTCTTTGTTTTTTAAATTTTCATACTCACTCTCAAGCCAAGTTATCCTAACAAAACCTTTCATTTTATCTTCTTCTTTTGGTTCCTTCCCCAAGTAATCCATGTAAACAGAAGTTGTTACCTCGGTGGGACCGTTGATAGCTTTGCCATCAACTCGTAGACCTAGTAACATACATGTATCTTCAAGGGTTATGGTGCATTCACCTGTTGGCAAATGAAATGTGTGGGTTTCGGGTCTCCATTTCTCCAACAGAGCAACAACTAGGCTTGAGTCGATTTTTAAACTGTTTATTTTTGAAATGTGTGCAAATCCTGCGATCTCAAGATAAGGCATTATTCTATCATTCGCTCGAACAAGAGAATGTGAATGCACCCTAAACCTCGGGGCATTAATCTGCAACAATATTAAACCAACATTAGTTAGTCACAATTTTTACGACGAAATAATAATTTGACAAAGAGCTATATACATTAATTTTTTTGGGAAAAATATATAAAATATGAAAAACTTACACTGTTATTGATATTTTGTTGTGTTCCACGGTGCTCATCGCCCATCCACAACAATGCCATTTTAGTCGGGTAAAAATTGCAAGATAGTAGAGGAATAGAAGTGAGAATTGCTAGGAAGTAGAGAGAATTAGTAAAAATATTGTGTAAATTTTGGAGGTAAATAATTTGAATATATAGTAGTGTGCATGAAAATAAAATATTAGGTTTAATAAATTTGAAAGTTATAGATTGAAGAGACTTTTGCATGGCGCCTACGTTTTTTTGCATGCATGCAATGCTAGATTCTTACACAATGTCGTATGCATGTGAAACATTTTTAGCAGACCCTCACATGTTCGCCCTTGGGTGGGACGAACCAAAGTTGCCCCTCACATGTTCGCCCTTTGGGTGGACGAACCATAGCTTTTGCTGTTGGCAAGTTCGCCCTTTGAGTGGGCGAACTAGTGATACTGAATTTTTCCAATATTCCCACTTATATTCGTTTCCTTGTATATCTGTTTGAATCACTATATTATAAACTTCTCTTGTATGCATCAATTACCACATTCAAACTCCCCAACATTCAATCTTACACTACAAAAAAAATTCAAACTCCCTAACATTCAATCTTACACTACAAAAAAAATTAAAACTTCTCAACATTCAAACTCCGAAATGTCACAGAGAAACATAATTACCACATGTCACTTTAACGGTGTTGTTTCGACAAACACTCCTGTTGGATTCTCGTTCAGCAATACGGATACATACGCCTTCAAAATTCATGTCAATTCAAATTTTTTTCATTTTAAAGATAGAATGGAAAAAAAATTGGCACAAGGCGTTGAGGAAATCATTTATCGCCATCCCACCCTTAATGAAGACGACTGTACGATTTTTTACATTATGACGCCAATCAAAAACGACGAGGATGTGAAGGCAATATTTCTGTGCCACATGATGTTTGGTTAGTTACCTACAATTGAGGTGTATGTCAGACTACTACACAATCCCGAAACATTTCCAACGCAGGAGACACAGTCACACTGGTACAGGATGAGCCAAACATCCGACGACGAACCAACGCAAAACAATTTACCTTTCATACCAAATGAGGAGGTTGGAGAATCAAGTGATGACGATATTTATGAGGAGATCAGGATGCAAGATATTTTTGGTGACAGCGGTGACGAAGACAATGAAGACGAAGATATAGTTGTCCCGTCTATGCAACCGATCCGCGCACAACCCGTAAGTTTGTATAACCCGCCAACACACATGCAAAATATTGATTTTGAAGATGACGACACAACCTCCGTGTTTGGAAGTGCTATTCAAAACCATATAGGTGACGAAATAGAGATCGGTATGGAGTTTGAAAACAAGGAAGCCTGCATCCTCGCTCTGCAGCATTGGCACATAACACACTGTGTGGACTATTGGGTGTATCAGTCTGACAATGAACGATATGTCATTCAGTGTAAGAAACAAGACTGCAGGTTCAAGTGCAGAGCTTCATTTAGACGAAGGAACTCAAAATGGGTGATCGATAAGCTGTCTGGGTCTCACACATGCACTACGACGTCGATGGCACAAGACCATAGGAAGCTCATTTCAGAAATGGTTTGCCATAGCATCAGAGAACTTGTCAACAGTGACGCCTCACTTAAGGTAAAAGTGATCGTTGCCCATATTCTAGAAAAATACGGGTACATTATATCTTACCGGAAGGCGTGGATCGCTAAGTGCAAGGCGGTAGAGTCGCTTTATGGCAATTGGGAAACATCTTACAACGACCTACCGCAGTAGATACTGGTAATGAAAACCTTTCTTCCAGGAACCATTATAGATTTGCAAACCCTACCTGCAACATCAAGTGATGGTTCCCAAAACTCCGGAAAACGAATATTCCATCGTCTGTTTTGGGCATTCCGTCCGTGTATACGTGGTTTCGCCTACTGTAAGCCCATTGTGCAGATAGACGGGACATGGTTGTATGACAAGTACAGAGGAACTCTATTGATGGCGGTGGCACAGGATGGCAACGCAAATATTTTCCCAGTGGCATTCGCATTGGTCGAAGGAGAAACAAAGGAAGCCTGGAGTTTTTTTCTGAGGAACCTACGATTACACGTGACACCACAACCGAATTTATGTCTAATATCTGATAGACATGAATCGATAAAAAGTGCATACAACAATCCTGAAAACGGTTGGCAACATCCACCCTCTTCACATGTCTACTGCATAAGACACATTGCTCAGAACTTCATGCGCGAGATTAAGGACAAGGTTCTACGCAAAACACTTGTTAACATGGGTAACGAAATAAATTCCGCTTATCTAAAATTTTGTGGCATGTTTTTATCATTTTTTCTCACACAATTTCTGATACAGGTTACACATTGACGGAGGCTTCATTTAATTATTATCACGGAGAAATCAGAAGATCCAACACTGAGGCTTTAAATTGGATAGACAATATTCCTAGGGAGAAGTGGGCTAGAGCATTTGACAGAGGGCAATATTGGGGACATATGACATCTAACTTAGCAGAAGCAATAAACTCTGTACTAAAGGCCACGAGAAACCTTCCCATCATTGCATTGGTCCTACCTACGTATTATCGAATGGGTTCACTATTTGGTAAACGAGGACACAAATGGACCAAGATGCTATCTTCAGGGAAAGTTTTCACAGATGGTTGTAACAAGGGAATGGCTGAGGAGGTAGCCAAGGCTAACACACACAACGTCATGCAATTTGATCGGGAAAGATTCTGTTTCATGGTGCAGGAAAAGATTAATTACAACGATGGTCGTCCAACGGGTACTTTCAGCGTTGACTTGAGGAATCGTAAGTGTGACTGTGGAAAATTTCAAACATTTCACTTGCCTTGCTCCCACGTGATAGCGGCATGTTCTAGCATACGACAATACTATGCAATTCACATTCCCGAGGTCTTCACAGTACTTAACGTATTTAAGGTTTACAAGGAAAGCTTCCTGGGACTACCACACGAGGAGAACTGGCCAAAATATGAAGGTTTCACTCTGTGCCACGACGATTCAATGAGAAGAAATAAAAAGAGGCGTCCAAGAAGTAGTAGAATTAGAACTGAGATGGATGACGCAGAAAAAGAGAAGAGACGGTGTGGGATTTGCAGAGAAATAGGTCATATGCGTAGTAAATGTCCCAATGTTGCCGGTCCGTCAAACCGACCGAATAGATAATTATATTGTACTACTTTTGTGTTTGATCCATCAATTATTTTTAATTCAAAACAACTTTCAAAATACAACAAAAGCAGCGAACTACAAACATAAAGTTGATCCTTTACTCCACAAACGCAAAAATAAAACTCATGAAGCTAACATAAACTCTAACATACAACAGCGACCAACACAAGTGGATTTGTGACTCCTCTGTTGACTTCACCGCTATGTGCTGAAAACATGCAATGGACATCTTCATCGTTTTCTATACGATCTAGGTAGTACATGTACGTCCCCTCCGGGCTAGCATCAGTAAGCGTTATATATGGACAACGATACTCAATTTTTTTCACCGTCACGCGGCGACCGCCCAGCTGACGAAACCCGGTGTTAATTGCTGCAACCACGGTTCTGAAATTCCACAGCGGATCTAGGTAAACACTGATTTTTTTCTCAGGTCCATAGAAAACATGAGCTTGCACAGACATCTTTATAATTCGGATAAGTTGACACGAATGATAGTAAATCGGATACGCTTATTTATACAAAAAATTTATATCTGAGTTCGGCCATTCAGTGATCGAGAGTCTGTAAAAATAATTTAAATATAAAATTAATTAAATAGTTTTTATATTAAATTAATTTAATAGTTTTTATCCAAAATTAATTAAATATTTTATATATTAAATTAATTAAATATATTTTATATTAAATTAATTAAATAGTTTTAATATGGAATTAATTTAATTTTTTTTATTAAATAGTTTTTTTATTACTTTAATTAAATAGATTAAATATATTTTGTAGAAAATATGTTTTAATTAAATAGTTTTAATATGGAATTAATTTTATATGTTTTATATTAAATATATTTTTTATTACTTTAATTAAATAGATTAAATATATATTGTAGAAAATATGAAGAAAAAAAAAAAACAATTCAACACTGGTTCGCCCTTGGGATGGGCGAACTCCTTGCATGGCCGTGTCCTTCCACTAGTTCGCCCTTGGGGTGGACGAACTCAAGCTTTCCTTTCACTAGTTCGTCCCTTGCATGGGCGAACTCCCTCAAAAGTAGGGTACTCTGGTAAATAAATTTCAAACTAGGGTATTGTGGGATTATTGGTTTCAATGTAGGGTATTTGAGTCAAAAAATCGCATAATTCACGATCAATCTTGATCCACACGAGCCATCCGCTCACTGTAATCCTCTCGGGAATTACCACAATTGCACAAGATTGTCCACATTTGACCATCTTGGCCCACATCTATCAAAACACCAAGACATCATTGAACCAGAACATGATTCGTTACTAAAACATATACACAATTGAATTCTCAAACATAATTAGATATAAAATATTGGGAAAACAATTCCATTATCTATCCTATGTTATAGCTCTGTTCATTAGCTTTCCAACGCTTCGAACGGGGATCAAAACGGACTTACGGATCCAAAGTTACGTCCAAAACAATTTTGACCAAAAACATGAACATTCGTGACGGACAGAAAGACGCTGTTACGCTCCGGAACTGATTTTCGCTTAATTATTCTTGCGAATTACTTACTCAAAGCACCCAAAATATCACAAAAATATTCCTAAGGTTATACGACAATAACTGCACAACTTCTATGGTTTATTAGGCTCATCTGGCAACATTTGCAACACATAAAACACTATTTCCTGCAATTACTCTGAGTACTTCAGAGTTACTCACATTTGAATATTCTTATTCCTATAGGGTCAAACATATCACAATTTTTTCTTCAATTACACTCTACGACATTAAAATTACTCACTATCTAATATTCAATCCCTTTAGGGTCAGACATATAACAATGTCAAGGTTCTGGCCACGAAGGTTCAATTTCCCATAAGTTTTCCTACAAGGACATATTAATATTCAACTATACATATCATTTGGCCATTTGGTCATAACCTCAGATTCTTACGGTTACCTCCCTATTTCCCACAATTAACCCAAATCTCTAAACCTTAGGGAAACCTTAGAGCATCGTACTAATAACAATATAACATATTCATTTCTACATATTTACCCAAATCCCTAAACCTTACATCACCACAACATACCGAAAGGTATACATAGAAAACTATGAAAAGCAATACTCCCCATACAATAATCATTCAAGAACAGCAACAATTTTATGGAATTTATCATGCTACGAAAATTAGATCAAGAATCCTCAAGAACACATAATTCCTATGAGAGAAAGGACCTCTCACTACCCTCTCATGTTAATTCACCCATATTGAAATCCATTCTCCCCCCTTACCTCGATTAATTGCTCAATCGTTGAAGAATCTTGAAGGATTGACAGCCCTAGCCTCCTTCTCTTCCTCCTTGTTTTTCTTCTCACTTTTTCCCCCAAAACCTCTCTCTGGCAGTTTATCGTGTTCTAATTCTCTTTCCAAAAAAAACTTCTCTATTTCCTTTAATCTCTTATTTCTTATTTTATTATTTAAATCCTATAATAATAATAATAATAATAATAATAATAATAATAATAATAATAATAATAATATTATTCTCCCACTAATAATAATATTCATACTAATAGTAATAATATGAATAATAATAATATTCCACCAAATAATATTAATATTAATAATAATAATAATAATAATAATAATAATAATAATAATAATAATAATCTCATTAACATTATTATTAATAATAGTTGGAATAATATTAATCACTATAATGCTCTCGATATCATAATTAACTTACTCCTTTATCTAGGTCCACAGTACCCCAACTAAGGTCACCTCTCTCCCTTACTCCTAACCTCATACCCTTAATTAAGGACACCATACAACTACACCTCACAGAAAATATCAAAGCGACTGAATAATTTAAATGGGGTGTTACAACCCTCCCCCACTTAAAATATTTTCGTCCTCGAAAATGTATCTGATAAGAATGGTTCCGGATACGACTCTCGCATCTTACTCTCAAGCCAATTCATTCCTAGAATAACATCCAACTCGCTGAGTGGTAAACAAATCAAGTCCACTCCAAAATCATCACCAAAGATCGACACTGGACAATTCAAACACACACATGACTATAAACATTCTATAGCCAGACTCTACTACAATACTGGCCGGACGGACCGACCTCCTCTGATACCAATTGTAACACCCCACTTTACCCCGTACGCGTAATATAATAAATATACAAGAATAATTCATGAAATTCATCAGAGTTCTCCAACATAGTGGGATATCACAGTAAGTCACTTCATTTCATTAAAATAATCAATATTATTTAGTTTTCAATTAAGAAGCGGAATACAAATCAATTCTCCAATATAATTCTCCTCAACATGAGGTCATACAACATAAGTCCAACAAATAAAGATACGTAACAATAAACAAATAAAGTAGTCAAATAACAAAGTAACCCCGTCATCCCATGTTACGTATCAGAGCGACTCCTAAGACTCGATCAAATAGCTATACACTCCAAGCACTACTCAGGTACCTGGTCACCTGTACTCCCAAGAGAGCAAAGACACAACAACAAAAAGGGGTGAGAACTACATTCAATAAATAAACGGTGAAATACACATGCTAAGGAGTAGTTACACACCACACATAAAATAAGCACAAATAACGCACATACACGTGCCACCTCAATCACTTGGCATTCATAGCCCACACTCAATTACAATAATGCAATGTGACTCACTGACTCGACACAATGCATGTGGTACCAACACAATCTCATACAGTTCACACTAGAACCCGATTCCCGTCGGAATCCGGATAAGTCGTATATACGTTCCTCTGAACTACAACTTATCTCCACAACAACTTCCATATTGAAGTCCGGATGAAACTAGGCACCCATCATGGATTCCCACCTAGCCATCTCCACAAGACACATGATATGAAATGCATGTCAATACAATTATGCAATGTAATACATCATGCATAATTCACGATCAATCTTGATCCACACGAGCCATCCGCTCACCGTAATCCTCTCGGGAATTACCACAATCGCACAAGATTGTCCACATTCGACCATCTTGGCCCACATCTATCAAAACACCAAGACATCATTGAACCAGAACATGATTCGTTACTAAAACATATACACAATTGACTTCTCAAACATAATTAGATATAAAATATTGGGAAAACAATTCCATTATCTATCCTATGTTATAGCTCTGTTCATTAGCTTTCCAACGCTTCAAACGGGGATCAAAACGGACTTACGGATCCAAAGTTACGTCCAAAACAATTTTGACCGAAAACATGAACATCCGTGACGGACAGAAAGACGCTGTTACGCTCCGGAACTGATTTTCGCTCAATTATTCTTGCGAATTACTTACTCAAAGCACCCAAAATATCACTAAAATATTCCTAAGGTTATACGGCAATAACTGCACAACTTCTATGGTTTATTAGGCTCATCTGACAACATTTGCAACACATAAAACACTATTTCTTGCAATTACTCTGAGTACTTCAGAGTTACTCACATTTGAATATTCTTATTCCTATAGGGTCAAACATATCACAATTTTTCCTTCAATTACACTCTACGACATTAAAATTACTCACTATCTAATATTCAATCCCTTTAGGGTCAGACATATAACAATGTCAAGGTTCTGGCCACGAAGGTTCAATTTCCCATAAGTTTTTCCTACAAGGACATATTAATATTCAACGATACATATCATTTGGCCATTTGGTCATAACCTCAGATTCTTACGGTTACCTCCCTATTTCCCACAATTAACCCAAATCTCTAAACCTTAGGGAAACCTTAGAGCATCGTACTAATAATAATATAACACATTCATTTCTACATATTTACCCAAATCCCTAAACCTTACATCACCATAACATACCGAAAGGTATACATAGAAAACTATGAAAAGCAATACTCCCTATACAATAATCATTCAAGAACAGCAACAATTTTATGGAATTTATCATGCTACAAAAATTAGATCAAGAATCCTCAAGAACACA